GGATGTCCGGCCAAATGATGGATTTTCAGACCCCCCTTGTCCGGCATTGTCCGAATTAGTGACCCCTCCCCCCGGACATCCGCCATGCCTCGCAAAAACTCACGCAACCTTGTATATATCAAGAGTAAAAAACTTTTTTACTTTTAGAACTTTTTTATAACTGTAAATGTGAACACAAAAACATATAAATTACTAATTAAAACAAAATCTAGTGTTAACTGCATAGTCAAAATGCCAATTTCACAATGGGAAGGACTGCTCAAAATAGAGGGAAAAAAAAATTTGTTTTTTAATTTTTTTAAATTTCGGACATCCGGATTGCTAAACCCCCCCCCCCCTCCCCCCTATGTCCGAGTTTGTCCTGATTTTCCAAACCCCCCTCCCCCCCTCGGCTCGGACATCCTTTGTGAATGGCCCCTAATATGATAAGTTGAAAATGTTCTCGAGTGTGTATTTCATATTTTCCATGCCTAGCGCAAGCAGAAAGATATTGTCTGCCGCGGCTGGGTCTTGAACCCGCGACCTTCAAATTACTAGATTGACACTCTACCAACTGAGCTACACGGTCAGACGGATTTAAGATTGGAAATTATGAACTATATACTGAATGTCATAAACATACTCGTTTATATTAATTCAGCATCGAACCATACTAGTTCTGCAAGTGTTATGTTAACACTTGTAGAACTAGTATGGTTTGATGCTGAATTAATATAAACAAGTGTAAAAAGCTCTTTGATTGTATATTACCACATGCACTGACCACCCAACAAATTGTTTGTCATACTTACAAAGTCTTTAAAGATTTTAACCCTTGAAATGCCTCCCAATGCACTCATCAGATACGGTTCCTATACAAATATCTTGAAAGAAAAATGTGTTCACCTTCACAATAAGCTAAGACCTTTTGCAATCGGGTAAAAGACTGCGTTTATTTAAACGACAAACAGCAAAACACAGTTTGAATTCATTCAACCTTTTTAAAGAAATTAGTATATCTCACATATTTTGAATCCTCTTGGTGCGACTGAAACTTCTTGGCAAAATCTGCAGGAACTGGTTATCTGACATCACTCTAAATAGCAGTGGCGGCGCCACGGGGAGGACACGTCCCCCCCAGTTCTCTTCAAAGTCAATTTTCTAATTTGTCCAAATCCGGTGAGAAAAGGGGGGGGGGGTACGTTTGTGAAATCAGTCCAGTTATTTAGATTTAACTTAATAAATTCAGTCTTTACTGTGTGAATAAAGACCAGTATTAAAAGATCATCGCTTTACTTTTGACAAAAGAACGTTTCATATATGCGGTATTTACCATTAGCATATTGCAGGCACTGATTACGACCACCAAGGAAACCCACCATAACAGGGTTAATATATTACCCAAATTAAGTGCAAGGGGTAATGTGTGATGTGGAAATTTGGTCCTGCTGCTGAGATGTGAGGGAGATATGTTAATTAATGCACCGTTCGCGCAACATATGGTCATTAGCTTCTTGGAACGCATCACTACACAACTGAAAGAGAAAAATGTTTGAAGGAAGAGATCCATCAAGTGAAATTGTGTGCGAGGGGGGGGGGGCAAATATAGAACCTTCGTTTTCGAATCTGGACGGTTAGACCTATCTTAGATTTTTCAACATCGGGAATATCGGTGAGAAAGTTTACATTCCAAAAGAAATGGTACGAAGAGTACATATGGCTGGAATATTCAATGTAACAACTGGAAGATTGCATACTAGCATCGTATCAGCGAAGAGAAGGAAAGGAATGAATCTAGAGTCTGTAGAGAAAGGGTCCAAAAGAAAGCTTCCACCTTGGATCTGCTTGCCCTCCTTGCTCGGCGTTTTCAGCAAAGATGATCAGCACCACCTTTATCTCGACTTGTTTGAGGTCGCTACCTTGCCTGTGACAGTGGCATCATGTGAACGCACACACAGCAAGGTCAAAATAATAAACAATAATTTGCGAGTTGCTATGTCACCTGATAGACTCGAGGACCTTGTCCAGATTAGCAACGGACGAGATCTAGCCAACAATATTGAACTTAGCAAATTAGTGGAAATACTTAAGCTTGCAAAACCTCATAAGCTTCTCATGTAAACAGATCTACGATAACATAGATTAGCCATTATTATTCTACTGTACCTAACAGTTATTTCCATTTGTATTTAAATATAAAATTATGTTGACTTCAATTTTCCTGGAAGTAGTAATTCTTTTAGGCAGCTGTCAGTGAATGTAATCGTAGTCAATAGAGTAAGAAGGATAAGAAACATAATAGACCTATCTATGTTTTCGTCTTGGTTTATGCAAAAAATGGTCGGTTCATCGTCATGTGTGTATTTTATTTTCGCTAGAGTAACCAGTAGTTATTATGTTTTTGTTTAGCCATTGTGTAATATTACGACTGGGTAATTAAACCAGCACACTGCTATTGGTAAAAAATAATACACACGTGACGATGAACCGATCGTTCCTTGCATAAACCAGACAAATTCATAGATAATGAGCTCTTTTACTGTATTTCTGCATCGAGTTCCCTAACCTTATTCTATTGGCTATGATGTAATACTACATTTGTAGGTCTTATATATACGTAGTCATGAATAAAATTGTGTGTTTTGTGTACTTTATAATCTTCGGAATTCTGAATAATCCTACCCTGAAAATGCAGGAAATCGTATTTCAGAGACTCTGGATTTCAAAAATTTTCCGGACCCCCCTAGAAGTGTCTCGCGCCTTCACCGCTCGAAAATCCCCCCCCCCCACTTTTAAAAGGCTGGCGCCGCCACTGCTAAATAGAATGCATATTAAATTTGAAACAGATACCTGAAACGTGGTGGTCCAGTGTAGGTAGTATTCTACAATAAGCTGTCGCGGTTTGTGTGTGAACTACCTGAAAAAGATATCTCAAACGTGGTGGTCCAGTGTAGGTAGTATTCTACACAATAAACTGTCGTGGTGTGTGCCTGAACTACCTGATAAAGATATCCGAAAGTGGTAGTCCAGTGCCTGGGTACGAGGCTGGTATTCTACAATAAGCTGCCATGGTTTGTGTCTGAACTACCTGAAAAAGATATCTTAAACGTGGTGGTCCAGTAGGTCTGAGTGTAGGTATAGTATTCTACAATAAGCTGTCGTGGTTTGTGTCTGAACTACCTGAAAAAGATATCTCAAACGTGGTGGTCCAGTGTAGGTAGTATTCTACAATAAGCTGTCGTGGTTTGTGTCTGAACTACCTGAAAAGATATCTCAAACGTGGTGGTCCAGTGTAGGTAGTATTCTACAATAAGCTGTCGTGGTTTGTGTCTGAACTACCTGAAAAAGATATCTCAAACGTGGTGGTCCAGTGTAGGTAGTATTCTACAATAAGCTGTCGTGGTTTGTGTCTGAACTACCGAAAACGATATCTCAAACGTGGTGGTCCAGTGTAGGTAGTATTCTACAATAAGCTGTCATGGTTGGTGTCTGAACTACCGGAAAAAGTTGTCTCAAACGTACACTGAACCACCACGTTTGAGATCTCTTTTACAGGTAGTTCATACACAGACCGGCCACTTACTGTAGAATACTACCTACACTGGACCACCACGTTTGAGATATCTTTTACAGGTAGTTCATACACAGACCGGCCACTTATTGTAGAATACTACCTACACTGGACCACCAGGTGGCATTCTACGACAACTGTCAACAAGCTATACCGTAACCGTGGTTTGTGTCTGAAGTCTGAACTATGAAGAGGTCTCGAAATCGGGCCTGCCAATGGTCAAAAGCAGCTATACAGGTCACTACTGAACGAGAGGCAAAAATAATTTTTTAACTATTTAAAACTGCTGAGGAAAAATAAAGTTGGCCAAGTTGCAGCGGCCGGGAAATTCTACAAAGTGCTTGTTTTACACCAGTTTTTGATGTGGTTTGGAACGAACAAAGAGAATATAATTTAAACCCTAAATACATAATCCATTAATCCACAAATAATTCGAACTATTTAGAGTTTTTGTTTCGCCAAATAGAATAATTATTATTTTGTATTTGAAAATATTTATCTTTCAGCGTGTGCTAGTAGTTCTTGATTTGACTCTGTCTTGCCCAGTGTGTTTATATCCGTCATTAAAAATAATACCATTAGACAACGCTAGCTTTGTGCGTGCACGGATATGTGAAATAGGCGCCACAACCCATAATAGGCAAAACACGCTTCTTTCATCTTAGGGACCGTTCATTATTTATGCCTCAGGGGGACACCGAAGAGAAATGGGGAGCAGGGTAACCAATAATTTGGTGTGTAGAAAGAGTAGGTAAAGGAAAAATTGATCTGGTTCAGAAAGAGTGGGTAGCAAAAAATATTGACCTTTCAAAACTGTAGTGCAAGGTTAAAGCAACAACGAAAAATTGTTTTATAAAACTATATAAATATAAGTTTAAACACAATATCTTGTTCACCAGTTGGGACACAGTTTATAGACTAAGTCTATAAACTGTGGTTGGAAATAAACTTCAGGTCTTGATGTACAGTATCTGAATCTCTAATTTTCATCCGCGTCCGATGAGTCAAGAGTCTGTGGTCAGAGTTACTGCTGTCTGTTACACTGGCATCTGACAGTACAGCATCTGCTGAGTCTTGTAATGCACCAATATATTCTAAGTATAAAATGCTCTTGAGTAAAAATAGTTTTGGAATTCAATGTTCATGTGTACGTATCAAACTGGCAAGTAGTTTATATATCAAAAACAACCATACAAATGTTTATAAGCATACAAATCTTGAGTTGCATGAGAGTTGGGTAAAAGAAAATAATACTTCGAAAATGGTTGGGTAATTAAAAAAAGCAGCCAATTTTTATTTCTTTTCGGTACCCCCCCTGAGGCATAAATAATGAACGGTCCCCCTTATCGATTTGCCTTATAAGCGCATGTAACACGAGTCGATGCTCGAGTATTTACATTGACTGCGCGCTCGAATACACAACATATATTGAAATCCCTCAATCGACGTCCAAGCCTTTCTTCCCAGTTGCTTTAAAACATTGACACTGCTTCGAGGACATTTCTTGAATTTCTGTTTCGTACGTCTGCGGACTGACGCACGACAGTACAAAAGCGCTCAAAACCAGCAGTGGTAAGATTTTGAACATGGCCGAAGTCTTTATATTTGCATATTTGTGTTGTGTTTACAATATTGCTTGGTTTGTTTATTTGTAGAATTGTAGTGTTTTGGCCAACATTAGGTGAAGCCTTCTCACTTCTAGACGAGACGCTCAACGGGGATTTGGCTTTAAATACAATATTATAATATCCGGGGATTGACATACTGTATGATATAGGAAGCAATGGATTGATTTTATTCGTCATAATATTTTCGATATAAATAGCAATCTGCTCTAAACTGTTCTTTCCCGAGGTTCTTCCTAGAGGTTTTAGCGGCATTCAGCGTTACTACGGGAGAAAACCTAAACTAAACTAACTTCATTTATACTGGATAGCTCTATCAGTTCTAAACTGTTCTTCCTAGAGGTCCTGTAAGGATCATCTCTTATTGATCCAGTGTTACTACAGGAGAAAACGTAAAGCTAAACTAACTTTATTTATACTGGATAGCTTTATCAGTTCTAAACTGTTCTTCCTAGAGATCCAGTAAGGATCATCTCTTATTGATCCAGTGTTGCTACAGGAGGAAACCTAACTAAACCAACTTTATTTATACTGGATGGCTCCATAATTATAGAAATAGCATTCTTCCATTAAACATTTTTCTTTCTTTTCTAACAGGCTGACATCTCCAAGTCTACATTTTCCATGATGCCTGCTATGTGGTCAAGCGAAACCTGGTTTTGGCCAGTCACTACAGTCGTAGTTATATTCGCTGCAATAAAACTGGCCAAGCCAATCGTGCATACAATTATCAAGCCGTACTTTGCCTTCTTCATGTTTTTCTTCACGAAGTTTTACAACCGAATGTTGGGGCCGAAGAAAAAAGAACTTTTTGAAACGATTGAAGAACATTTGAAAAAAGTGGAAGGTGATGTGCTCGAGATTGGCGCGGGGACTGGGGCGAATTTTGCCTACTACCCGCGCGGCTGTTCCGTGCTTGCCGTGGAACCTAATCGTCATATGAATTACTACCTCGTTCACACCAAGAAGTACTACCCTCATGTCAGTCTAAAGGAGTACATCGTGGGCGTGGCTGAAGATATGAAAAAGATAGAAGATCAATCTGTGTCAGCGGTCGTCTCTACGTTGGTGTTGTGTTCTGTCGAGTCAGTAGAGCAAGCTTTGAAGGAGATCATCCGAGTTTTGAAACCTGTAAGTTGAAACAAGGTTTGAGCTGCCTGGGGGAAAACATATCCTGTGGTACGGTTTCCCAACCGACCTTTTTTGGGTTGTTTAACTACCACCCCTGTTTATCCTATGCTTTCTTTATGATACAACGCCTGACTCGTTCCCAGTCGCTCGCGTTGGATGATGGGAATGGGTCTAACCCGCGAACGGGCATATAATCTGCCATGCTAACTCAAATATAACGAAGGACTATGGAAGAATCGGATACAACGCGACGTGTTGTGGCAATAGCCAATAGGGAGTTTAAGATGCACCAAACCCGCGTCGCGACGGGAGACTAGTTTTACTTTGTTTTTCTCGTGTCCCTGGTTTTGTTTTTTTACCCGTGAAGTGAAACTGATAATAGCGGCAGTTTTTCGTCACGTCCGCGTCGTAGATTCATCCGCGTCGTACAGTTAACGCAATTCGGCAGTTTTTACCCGCGAAGTGAAACTGTGATAATAGAGACCTTTAGATTGACGTTTACGGCAAACGTCAAACCGCTAGCAAGTTTTTATTTACAACTCTATTATAATAGCTTTTACACCAGTTTTAAAATATGTTAAACTTATTAAACTTATGCTCTTTAGCAATGATCTAAGAAAGCAAATTAAACACTAGTCATGCCATTCACCAAAGCAGTAAATTAAGATTTGGCGTTTGAAGTTGGCGTTTGGCGTATAAATTTCATGCTTTAACGACTACAAGCCCTCGTAGCAGTTCAAGCATGAAATTTATACGCCAAACGCCAACTTCAAACGCCAAATCTTAATTTACTGCTTTGGTGAATTGCATGACTAGTGGTTAATTTGCTTTCTTAATTCATTGCTAAAGAGCACAAGTTTAACAAGTTTAACATATTTCAAAACTGGTGTAAAAGCTATTATAATAGAGTTGTAAAATCAAAAACCTCGCTAGCGGTTTGACGTTTGCCGTAAACGTCAATCTTAAGGTCTCTAATAGGGAGTTTAAGCGTCACGTTGGCAAACGGCAGGTTCGGACATTCTTGGCAAAATTTTCGTTGAACGTTTTCGTTTCATATTTTCTTTCTTGCGTCGAAAGAATAGCAACGTTAGTTATAAACACCCGACTAGGAATCAAAACCTAATCTTTTTTCAAGTAGTTCAGACACAAAGTACGATAGCTTATATTCCAGAGTACTAACACGCTTATCCTCCACATTTTTGTGCCGAATATTACAAGTTAATTTAACCAAGATTTGCCTTCTATTCGTTCTAGGGAGGAAGATTTTACTTTATGGAGCATGTAAAAGGTATGTGTTATATGTACGGAAATATATGCACCGAAGGCAAAAGGATGAAATTTAGCAGTCGTCCTTCATTAATACTAAGTATCCGTTCTTACGTGTGTTATTGGCGAGTTGTGAGATAGACGGCAACACCTGCACACGTAAAAATGCACAAATTGTTACAAGTCTGCAAACAAGTTGTTACAAATCTGTTCACAAGCTGTCGACAAGTTGTGTTCGTACTGCTTCTTCCCAGTTGTTGTAACAAGCTTGATGGCATTATCAGATTTATTACAAGGTTGTTCTAACAAGTCTGATGCAGTCATGATGTAACAAGAATGTTACAAGATTGACGATACAAGGTCGTAACAATATTGTTATATCATGACTGTATCGAACTTGTTGGAACAACCTCGCAACAAGTCTGATAACATCAACAAGGTTGTTGCAACTGTTAACAAGTTCCAAACTTGTTGACAATTTGGGGCAAGCAATGCGAACACAACTTGTTGACGGCTTGTTGGCAAATTTGATACAAGATGTGACATTTGTACGCGTGTAGAGTTGCACACATAAAAATATCACAACTTCACAACAAGATGTGTTCGAAAAAGGCGTGTTTTATAACAACAAGTTGTAACAATGTTGTTATTTCATCAAGTTGCTACAAGGTTGTCACTCGCAACTTGTTGAAAAATTGTTGAATTGCAGGACGATAACAAGTTGTTGGAACAACTTGCAACAAGTCTGTTGAGCTCAACAACCTTGTAGCAAGTTGTCAACAAGCTGGGAACAAGCAGTGCGAACACATCCTGTTGACAAGTTGTTGGAACAGCATTGCTACAAGTCTGCTGCAGGTTTGTTACAACTTGTGTGTTTTTACGTGTGTAGA